TCAGATATAGAACTTAAAGTAATGCTTATAAGGATGTTCAAAGAACTTAGGGAAAACTGCAACAGCATGAAAAAGGACATAGAAAAATGAAAAAGAACTATTTAGAGATGAAGAATAACCTATCTATCTGATAGCAGGATTACACTAGGAGGAATAAAAAGTAGGTTGGATAAAGCAGAGGATTGAATCAGCAATTTGGAAGACAAGATAGTAAAAAAGCACCCAATCAGAGTAGCAAAAAGAAAACATTAAAAATCATGAAGATAGTTTAAGGTAACTTTGGGACAATATGAAGCATAACATATGCATCATAGGGGTACCAGAAGGAAAAAAGAGAGAGCAAGTGATCAAGGAACTATTCGAAGAAATAATGACTAAAAACTTCCTTAACCTGATGAAGGAAAAAGACATAGATGCTCAGGAAGCACAGAGAGTCTCAAACAAGATGGACCCAAAGAGACCCACACCAAGACACATTATAATTAAAGTAGCAAAGGTTAAAGACAAACAGAATTTTAAAAGCAGCAGGCAAGAGAAAAGCAGATAATTACCTGCAGGGGAGTTCCCTTAAGATTGTCAGCTAATCTTTCAACAGAAACATTTCAGGCCAGGAGGGATTGGCATGAACTATTCAAAGTGATGGAAAGCAAGGACCTATGACCAAAACTACTTTATCCAGCAAGGCAATGATTTAAAATTGAAGGAGAAATGAACAGCTTCCCAGACAAGAAAAAGCCAAAGGAATTGTAACCGCCAAACGAATATTACAAGAAATGTTAAAGGGCCTGTTTTAAGAAGTAGAAGAAAAGGGGGAAAAAACAATTAAAAGAATAAAATGGTAATAAATATGTACCTATCAATAATCACTTTAAATGTAAATGGCTTATATGTTCCAATCAAAAGACTTAAGAGTAGCTGAATGAATAAGAAAGCAAGAAACATATATATGCTATCTACAAGAGACATACCTGAGAATGAAAGATACACACACTAAAAATAAAATGATTGAGAAGATATTTCATGCAAATGGAAATGGAAAAAAAAAGGCTTGGGTAACAATAATTATATCTGAAAAAATAGACATTAAAACAAAGGCAAATTGTTTTAAAGTCCAAAATTAAGAGACAAAAAAAGACTACGTAATGATAAAAGGAGCAATTCAAAAAGAGGATAGAACTCTGGGAAACATTTATGCACCCAACATAGGAGCACCTAAATAGTAAAGCAAATCTCGATGACATAAAGGGAGAGACTGACAGTAATACAGTTATAGCGTAGGGTTTTAACACTCCTTTGACTTCAATGGATGGATTCTCCAGACAGAAAATGACAAGAAAACGGTGGCCTTAAAGGACACACTAGATCAGCAGGATTTAATTGATATCTTCAGAGTATTTCACCCCAAAACAGCCAAATATACATTCTTCTCAAGCACACATGGAACATTTTCTAGGATAGACCACATGCTAGGACACAAAACAAGTCTATATATACAGAAATCATATCAAACATCTTCTCTAATCATAATGATATGAAACTAGAAATCAACAGGAAGAAAAACTGAAAAACGCACAAAATCTAAATAACGTGTTACTAAACAATGAATGGGTTTACAGTGAGATCAAGAAAGAAATCAAAAGTTACTTTAAACAAATGAAAATGAGAACACAACAACCCCACATCTACAGAACACAGTAAAAGCAGTCCTAAGACAGAAATCCGTAGCATTACAAGCCCACCTCAGTAAACAATAAAAATCTCAAATAAACAATCTATATTTAGGAACTGGAAAAACAACAAATAAACCCTAAAATAGTACAAAGAAGGAAATAATAAAGATCAGAGCAGATATAAGTAAAATAGAGTCTAAAAAAACAATACTAGAGATCAATAAAACCAGGAACTGGTTCTTTGAAAACATAAACAAGATTGACAAACCTTTAACCAGGCTCATCAAGAAAAAAGAGAGAGGACCTCTTTCATTTCTGATTGTATAAATATTCAGTGCAATCAGAAATGAAAGAGGAGAGGAAGCAACTGACACCAAAGATATACAAAGGATTGTAAGAAAATACTATGAACAATATATGCCAACAGATTGGACAAACTGGAAGAAATGGATAAATTCCTAGGAACATACAGTCTTCCAAAACTGAATCAGGAAGAGTCAGACAATCTGAATAGACAGATTATAACTAGTGACATTGAAGCAGTAATAAAAAAACTCCCAACAAATAAAAGTTCTGGACTGGATGGCTTCACAGATGAATTTTAAAGTCCATTTGAAATCCTCCCCAAGGTAAATTAATTTTCTCTTATGACTTTAGCCATCATTCACTCACTTCCAATGCTGTATTTCTAACTCAGGTCACATTCCGGATTGCCAATTTCCTACACAGGGATTCTTTCAGATGTCTCACGGACACCTTGCGCTTTACGAATGCAATACTAAACCTACATCTTTTCCCAAAGTCTGTGCCATTTCCTATATTACCTAGTCTTTGGTGTTGCCTTTTTTCTAGTCTCTCAAGCCAGAACCTTGCTTTAGATTCTTTTTCCCCCATCAGCCTTTGCAAGCAATTGGTCATTAATTTTAGTTAATCCTCAGTGTGTTTCATTTATTTACCCCTCTTCTCATTCATAATGCCACTGTTTATAGTTCAGCCTCTGTCATTTCTTGTCTGCATGAATACTTAAGTGATTCCGTTGTCTTCAATCTTAACCTGTCTCCAACTTATCTTTCACACTGTAAAAATAGTCTCGCTTAGACACTCAAGTATGACCATATCACTCTCCTGTTTAAAATAGTATCTTACCATTCATTAGCATAACTATAAGTTCCATAGAATAAATTTCAACCTCCTTGGCATCGCATCCTATGCCTTTGTGGACTGGCTTCTGCCAGTCTTCACAGTTGATGGTCAGGGTTAAGTCTCAAGGAACTGATATTAGTATGGATTATGCTCTTCTAAATGTCCAGTGTTAGAGAGAAACAGCAAGTTGAGTATGAACTAAAATCCTTAAGAGATTTTGATGATCAAATCAAGGAAAAAAAAATGATATTTGATAGATCTTCAGAGTAGGAGTAGAATAGAGTAGAGTGAAAAGACAGAAAGACCTAAGAGGAGATGGATATAACTGAAGGGAAAAGAGAATAGGAGCAAGAACACAGCAAAGGAAATGCAGGAAATTATCAGCAACAGCCACTGTAACATGTGTTAATATTGAGTTTATGAAAGGTAAGTATGTTTGGTTGACTTAACAGGTCAGAGTCAAATGGATACTGGCAGAAAAATCTATGATATGGCTCATCATCCTTCATTTCTCATTTCCCCAGTAAACTATTTATCTTTCAAAACCCTATACAGACGTCACGAACTCCTAGAGTCTTCTCTGATTGCCCCTCTTCCCCACAGCTATCCATCCATCTATCCCTTTGTTTATTATCGAGCAAATATTTAGTGAGTACTTGGTGCAGTTCAGATGCCATGTTAGGTATTGGAAACACCGTGGGGAATAAAATAGATCAAACATGGCCTTTGCCCTTTTTGGCCTTATGTTTAGTGGTGGGTGCACACACATACAACACACATCCAAATAATCAAATAATCATTGATTTACTAAGGGCTATGAATAAAATAAACAAGAAACTGGGATATAGAATAGTGAGGAAGACTAGTAGACACAGAAGCAACCTACTTTAGTATAAGGGTAAGCCCTATGAAATTGCTGGTATCTGACTGATTTTGTCTTATATAATTAGCAGTTTATATAGTTCAACCTAATAGTCGCCTTTCTGATGAACTGACATTTAAATTGAGACGTGAAGGATGATGGGGAACTGGCCATGGTGGCTAAGTTCGGATCTTAGTGTATTTCAGAAAGCAAGAGAAGACTGGAGAAGATAGAATTGAGAAAAGGGGTGAGTGACTCTAGGTGGAAATAGATAAACCTGACATCATATAGGACCTTTATAGGAGTTTGAATGTGATTCTTATTAAAATTTAAAGCCACTGGGGTATTTTAAGATCCTTCTGATTATATAGTGTGGGACTGGACTGGAAAGGATTAAGGGTAGAAATAGGTCAGTCACTTAAGAGGTTGATATAAGGAAGCAATATAGTGTTGTGTTAAGTGTGGAGGGTTGGGGGTCTGGCTGCCTTGGTTTAAATTCTGGTTCTGCCATTTATTAGCTATTCATGTAAGTTACTAAAAAAAGTTCTCTAAGGCTGAGGTTTCTACATCTCTGAATTAGTGATAATAATAGAATCAGCCTCATAGTATTAGTCTAGAGACTGAATGAGAAAATCCATGGCAGAGCCCTAAGCAGTCCCTGGCACAAAATAAACCCTTAGAAGAACTAGAGATTAATAGTCCAAGTGAGAGATGGTAGTGCCTGAATTAACCTGATGACAATATATTTGGAAAGGGGAGAATGGATATGAGACCTATTGTAGAAGTTTAAACAGCCGCATTTAGTAATGGAATGGACGTAAGAGTTGAGGGAGAAAGGCTTTTTAAGGTGTTTTTGAATTTCTAGATTTCTGTCAAAGAAATTGGAAAGGTCTACCTGGTACAGAATTTTGCAATAAAAATTTATCTCTTTATACTATATAAGACAGAAAGAAAGAAAGATAAAAGGCCTGTATTATACAATATAAAAGGAAATACTTATTAAAAATTTTAGATAACTTTATGTGAGGAATATAAAACATTTTATGTTTATTTGCACCACAATATCATATATAAAAGTCTTAAATATGTATATTCATTGTTCCTCAGGTCTAAGATTTTGAAAATTTATACTGTACTGTGTGATATCAGTGGACATTTAAGCTCGTGTTTATTTTCTTATATTAAAGGTGTTTTGTAATCATTCCATCTGCTTCTCTTACAGAATAGAGCCCACTTGGTGTGCCAGCAGATGAAGAACTTCAGGAGGGTGTGTAAATTTACTCTCCTTAGCAACTGAGAGTCTACTCTGGGGACCATTGAGTACCATGGGGAAGCGAGATAATCGGGTGGCCTATATGAATCCTATAGCAATGGCCAGATGGAGGGGCCCATCTCAACCCATAGGCCCAACGATACAAGATTATCTGAATCGACCAAGGCCCACCTGGGAAGAAGTGAAGAAAAAAATAGAAAGTAAAAAGAAAGGCTCCAAGGCATTAGCAGAATATGAAGAAAAGATGAACGAGAATTGGAAGAAAGAACTAGAACAAAGCAGAGAGAAAGCATTAAGTGGAAATGAGGGTTCATCCAAAAGAAGAGAAAGAAAGAAAAAGAAAAAGAAGAAATCTTGTCAGTCTTCATCTTCTTCATCAAGCTCTGATTCTTCAAGCAGTTCTTCAGATTCTGAGGTTGAGAAAAAGAAACGAGGAAAAAAGAAAAGGAAGAAGAAGAAGAAACATTCGCACAAATCATCAGAAAGCTCTACATATGAATCTGAATCAGAGAGCAGGGAATCTGGAAAAAAGAAAAAGAAGTCAAGGGATGAAACAGAGAAAGAAAAGTGTATTAGAAGTGTCAGCAAGAAAAGAAAGAAGACTTACCCTGAGGATAAACCTTTATTGTCGGAGTCCTCATCAGAATCGGATTATGAAGAGGAGGTACAAGCCAAAAAGAAGAGAAGACATGAAGAGGAAGAAAAAACATTGGAAAAAGCAAAGAAGAAGAAGAAGAAACATAACAAGAAACATAGTAAGAAGAAGAAAAAGAAGTCAAGTTAAGTCACAAGTGAAGATAACATCAAGAAAAAAAAGCAAGGTTTCTCTATTTAAAATAGCAAGGTCTAAAAGAAAACTCAACTGTGAATGTTAGGGTCCATTTACCAAAATGCATGAGTTTCTCTGTGTTAATATAATTATTCCTGGACTTTGAGTTGCCAGTCAAATGCCACTGTGCCAGAAAAGGCCATAATTGTTGTTGCTTGTGGCTAAAATGTAGGATTTTGTTTGTGTGTTTTTTCTTCTGGTGTTTAATTACTCTGACTGCCAAAACCCTGCTGTCATACTAGTGGTTAAAAATGTTTGGAATTAGAGTAAAATGTTTTAGGTAATAATTTGGACCAAAATATATCTAATTTTAAAATTCTCAACTTTAGATATATGTTTAAATATAATCTGAAATATCCAGACAACTATCGTTGATATTTTTGAAGCATGAAGTTAACATTGATGTGTCAGAATCCTTACTTTTTAAGATAAGTTCAGTTTCTTTTCCTTTTCTCAAACTTTTGTTTACATGGGGAAAGGGCTTGTGGGGGGAGAAGAGTTTGCTATCAATTTACCTAGCTGAGTCGTGTGCCTTTGATCCTTACACATTCTATTTTTGCCAGTGCAGCAGCATTCTTTTTTTACTTAATGGAATTCTGGTATGTTGTTGTATATGGCTTCAAGTGACCCAGAAGGACAGCAACTCCACAGTATAGTAAGCCCCCAATTCTATGAAATTTACCTCTAATTCAACAGTATTTCATAGTATTTAGCATCAGAATGTTACATGATTTGCATTAACTTTGATACCCTTTGGAGGGAAATAACTTTAAATAGACCCTGGTATTTTTTGATTAATAAAGATTCTGAAATATTTTGCATGTTTTATACTCTTAATTTTTGATTATCCAGGGATATTCTATATAAACAGTAACCCTTTTTATATAATTTATGCTTAAGATACAAGTTTCAAGTTTGTAATTTCTTAATCTTACTACATTAATTTCATTACTGGGTTTAATTTCACACTTGCCAAAATATTTAGCATGTGAAAAGAAGGTTTTTAAAAAATATTTAATGCCTTCATATTGAAGCTGGTTTACTGTAAGCAAGTTTAGTGCCAGACCTCTAGTACGCTGTGTCTTGTTACACGAAACCACTGCCACAGGTTTAGTAAATATGCTGTTTGGAAGTTTGTTGTTTTAAACATTAATATTGAATTGAAAGTAAGTTAAATTTGGGAGATAATGATAGCATTGATATTCTATGTTATATTTTACTAACATTTGGTGCCTCATTTCTGTTGCTGATTCACGTTAACCAGTAATGTTGAAATAAGTTGAAAGTTATTTTTACTTTTTATTTTTATATATCATAGTAATCTGATTTATAAATTGATGTTTCAAAACAGTACCTGTTAGAGGAGATGGGCTCATTGAAATGTCATATGTACAGAATATTTTGGCTGAGACAGTCAATAGCTATTTTTTTAAAATTGCTGATTTTGTCATTTCCCTTGAATCACAATCAAAGTTATTATAAATAGAGACAACATCTAGTAGATAAATAATATATTGGCTCCTCAAATTTTTGGAGCGGATATAACAAAACCTCTCAGTAAAGTTTCTTGGAAAATTAGAAATGTAATGCCATGTTTGATGACCCAGAAGCTTCATGACATTATCAGTTTCCTAAAATATATGTGTGTATATATATACTGATAAATTTATTATATTTAAGGGATATTTTGTATCCATACAGAGTTTTTCAAGAATTGTCGTTCGTTAAAATACGGAAAAGCTCATATTGTTTGTAGAATGTGTCAAAAGACATTAATAGCTTATCAGACATGCTCCTGTTACTTCCCAGCCCCTTGTGGTTAGACAAAGCCATTTGCCTACTTCTAGAAGAGGGTTTGTAGAGACATTGTAAACAGAAGCGATGTGTCCTTTTGATACTGGAGCCATAAAAAGCCCTGCGTGGTTCCTCCAGCTCATGTTTACCTGCCACGGTGATGTGGACACAATGTGCTCCAAATGGTGCACCTGCGAGATGGATGCCACCTGCATCTCTAAGTCACTGTTTGTAAAGGCCCTGCCCCGAAGAGCTGATGGACTTGCAGCAAATGTTTTCACAGTAAGAAATAAACTGTTACATGTTAAGCCACCGAAATGTGGGGTCTTTTTTGTTACCACGCATCTGTCACCGTAACCTAATCTGACTGCTAACATAGAGCTCTAAAATGTTCATTTCTTTCTAAAAAAAAAAAAAAAAAAGATTTTATGTATTTATTTTTAGAGAGAGGAGAAGGCAGGGGGAAAGAGAGGGAGAGAAACATTGACTGGTTGCATCTCATACGCGCCCTGACTGGGGACGGAACCCACAACCCAGGCATGTGCCCCAACGGGGAATGGAACCAGCCACGTTTTGCTTTGTGGGTTGACACCCAAGCAACTGTGCCACACTGGTCAGATCTAAAGTTGTTATTAGTAATTTGCTTTATATGACTCATGAGAATGATAGCTTTAGCTATAACATTCCACTAATTTTGTGGAAAGGGAAGCAGTGGGAAGGTCAGTAAACAGAATGGGAGAGGAGGAAGATCAGTACAATCTAGATGAGGAATGTCATGGCAAGTACAAAAAGAACTTGAAAGATCTCAGGATGAAAAAGGATTAGATCGGAGGTAAGATAAAATTTGAGGTTCTGGTTTTATATCTTGTGATAAGATAGTCCCTTTGTTTCATATAACTTTATCTCAATAAAGTTGTATCTTTGACATTGTAACTCTAGTTATTTCCTGATTAACCATTTTTATTTAAATAAGCAATTTAAAACAAAGCTGTATTTTAATCTGTTGCAGGTTTATAGCTATTAGACTTCATGACTCATGAAAATTATCAAACATTCAAATATACCTTATGCACTACAGAGCTGAATTAATTTTCCCAGTCCTTCCTGAGCTGCGAACAAGATGTGTTCTTTCTTCAAATGGCTCTATCACTTTTACTTGACTTCCATGACACTTACCTTAACCTAGTTTGTATTATGTATTTTGTTACAATTACTAAGAGCACTGGCTCTTAGCTAAGCCATTTTTATATCACTTAGTGTTTTTATTTTATAATGATTCAAAGAACTTTTTAACATTAATAGCAGTTTCAGAAAGACAGAGTGATTGTTGTAGCTCCTGACTTGTGGCTGTTAGCTCTTGCCCAGGAATGGGTTGGTCAGGAATTTTTTAAAGATAGGCCACCAACACCCATGCAACCCGACCAGCCATTCACAGATGAGAGTCACCTGTCCAACCACACTGGAAACCCGGAGAAGGGGTGGGCTGGGCTCACTTGATTACAGGCACAAGGGAAGCAGCTTCAGAGTGAAAGACCTTGGTCTTCTACCATGACTCTGAGAAACACTATGAGAAAAACTCTTTGTGCCGCAGGTCTTGAGACTTAGGGTGGTTTCCCGAGGAGACTCCACCAGTGGTCATTGATTTGCACGCTCACCCAAGATGAAGTGGGTTACGCGCATCGACATAAAGTCAAGAGCACAGGTCAAAGTTGCCATTGCTGGTGCTTAACAATTTACATTAATTATCAGATGCTAACAAGTTTAATAGATATTAACTTTATCATATCAACTGTGCATAAACTAAGTGTTGGGAAGGTCAAAATCCAGAATAATCTGAGATTTGTGAAGTGTTCTATAAAAAGGCTTTTTATAAGTTATGTTTGGACCATAAGACCAGTAAGCAGGCCTAGGATACGTTTCTTGGGTGAGATATGTAATAGTAACAGATTATAAAAAAAAATTACCAAATTATTTCCTATTATTTTCCTCTATTTAATATGTTTCTCACAGAGTGGTACATCAGATTCACCTAGAGCGTTTGTTAAAATGTGTATTCTCAGGCCATGTCTCAAATTTACTAAGCCTAAATGTCTGACAGAAGACTCAGAACGCGCCTTTTTTTACATTTTCTTCTTAATTTTTTTCTTTTATTGACTCTAAAGAGAGATGAACGGAGGGAGAAAGAGGAGAGAAACATTGATGTGAGAAAGAAACATCGATTGGTTACCTCTCATACATGCCCCAACCTGGGAATGGAACCGCAACCCAGGCATGTGCCCCAACTGGGAATGGAACCCGTGACCCTTTGGTTGGCAGAAGCACGGCCAACCAACTGAGCTACACCAGCCAGTGCTGGGAATGTGCTCTTTTAACTGGCTCTGCCTCTAAGAGATGCTGATAAATATGAGAAATAAATAGGTTAAAGTATTCCCCAAATTCTTATTCAGAGTTCAGTCTTATAAAATGTGCTTCACTTCAGAATTGGTTATATGTGTTCTATTTTTCCACAGACATCCTCCAGGAATGTTAGGCAATTATTTCTTTTTTTAACTTTGTTTTGATTGTTGATACTATTACAGATGTCCCTATTTCCACCCCCACCCCCACCCCGACCTTTGCAGCTGGATGGAGGGAAGTTCTGTCCCAATCTTGTTGTTCAACCAAATTCATGTCAGTTCTTTTAGGTTTTCGATTTGAATGTGACTTGATTATTTATCAAGAATAGGGAGCCCAGCCTTGACCAGTATGGCTCAGTTGGTTGGAGCATCTCCCATAGACCAAAGGTCACGGGTTCAATTCCCTGAGAGGGCACATACACAGGTTTTGGGTTGGATCCCTGATTGGGGCACATAGAAGGCAACCAACTGATGCTTTCTCTCTCTCTCTCTCTCTCTCTCTCTCTCTCTCTCTCTCTCTCCCCCCCCACCATCCTCTCTCTAATAGCATTGAAAAAATGTCCTCGGGTGAGGATAAAAGAAAAAAGGACCTCTGAGCACACAGAAGTATTGAGCATCTTTTGTAAAGAATGGTCATAGTTACAACTTCTCAATAGACCTAAGGTATTCAGGAAAATTAGGTGGAAAAAGGATAACATTTTCTGGTTTTCTGTAGGCAAACTGGTTTTAATTGAATTAATTTCCCAGTGATTACTGGAAGATTCA